ACCGTGCATCTAAATTGCGTCCAAGGTCCGGCTGCGAGATCGGGCTCATCACCAAGGCTACGATCCGCCATCGCATCCTTGTCTCACTCTGTATTTTGCACCAAGTCATCCGAGCGCATCTGCGCCTGCAATGTGAGGAGAGGATGCATTGCATACTGGCGACGAAAGAAGGAGCAGGGGGGAAAAGGTGAAAGATGTGGCTGATCATAATTGTGCCCGCATCTATGGGCTGGCATCCGCGAGTGGGAAGCGCAGAGACGGGGCACACTCAAATCGTCAGCCTCCGCCCAGAGACGAATGTGTTCTGAGAGCCGTCGGTTTCCGACCTCGGACGCGCACATGGCGAGCCGAGGCGTGAAGGGACTGGAAGGCGCATCAGACGTCCCCTCCGTCACCTTCAGACTCTGGTAGATGGAAGAGAAGAAGGATCGACAGCGACGGCCATGCCAAATCCAAAGGGCAGCCAGCGGGCGCTCAACTTTTTTCTTTTTCTTTTCCGTCGTCCGCTCTGCGCTCGTTGAAGCGCATCGCCAGATCCGAACTGATTTCGAGGCTCGTAATCGGCGATGGCTCTGGCTTGCCGCTGCCGCGTGGCTCTCGGTGGCCCAACCGGCCCGCTAAATCAGCAGAAGCGGCGGGTGCTGGCGCTGTGTGCTGGCCCGCGGCGCACCGTCCAAGGGCCACCAAATGAAAGTCCGAGAACAACACCTGCTGCACGTCACAAGTTGGCACCCAACCGTTGGAACAAGCGACTGCCGCTTGCAATCCTTGCAATCCCCAACCAATCCCGTCCGGCTCCACGACCACCTCCTCTCACCAACGCAAACAAAGCACGGCGCCTTTCTACCACCATCATCACCTCATCGATGGCCACTCGCATCTCACAATGATCCAGGCACGATAGACGTGGCTCTCAGCATCTTTCTCTTCCTGCGCACTCTGCCTCGACGACCTAGCACTGCGCTCGCTCCGTCATGACAGCCGACGCAGAGGCGGCGTCGAGCAACTCGGCCGCAGGTGCAGCGGCCGAGCACCCCGGCCAACAGAGCAATCCTCACAACGCCCCAGATCTCGACCTCAGCGTCGTACAGGACCCCATCCTCGACCTGTGCCCATCTCTCGACATTCTCAAACAGATCGCACGCTCCACCGCTCTCGATGTCCAGGTCAAGAAGGACAAGCTCACCAGGGCTCTCCTCCGAGCCGCCAGCAACGGCGACACCGACATGCTCTCCTGGCTCCTCGACTCCAGGGCCGAAGCTCGTCAGCTCATCTCGCTCCCATCATCCCACAGAGACTCGCACGGCAGATCCGTCGTCGCCTTCGATCAAATGCGCGACGACGAAGGCTCCGGTCCCGTCGTCCTCGCCACCTGCGCAGGTCACATCGATGCCGTCACCATGCTCGCGCTCAACGGCGCTCCCATCGACGAGCGCGACGCATGCGGCTGGACCCCTCTCATGTGGGCCATCAACAGCTCCAACCTCCAGCTCGCCAGCTTCCTCCTCAGCCGTGGCGCCGACGTCGATGCAAAGAGCTCCAAGGGCACCACCTGCGAAGATTTCATCCTCTCCGCTGCTCCTCAAGCCGCCACTTCCCAATCACCTGCTACCCAACTGCGCTTCTCCACCTCGGCTTCCAACGAGCGCGAGGCCATCGCAGACCTCGTCTACGAGCATCAGCGATACCTCTCCGTGCAGCAGTCCGCCGCACAACGCCTCAACTCCCTCTACCTCGACTCGTCGCCCGACCGCAATCCTTCGGCGCCGTCCAGCGCCGCCGACTCGGATCGCCAAGACAACAACACCAGCCCCACCCGTGCGCCCAGACCCTCGGCCTCGTCATCGAGCCCTTTCAAGCCGGGCCATTCCCGTACAGCTTCTCAACTCACACAGCGCAGGCTCGTCGGTCGATACGAACGTGCCCACCTCGCAGAGCAGAAGAACAAACAGAAGGAGCTCACCGACACGCGCAAGAGCGCCATGGCCGACATTGCAACCCTGCTCGAACTCGACCTCGACAGCCTCATGGGCGAGCCCACCTCGGTCGACTCCAATCCGGGCAACGCCACTTTTGCACGTCGCAGGAGGGGCGCTGCCGCCAAACCCGCCCATGCCGGCCTTGCCTCCGGCTGCGGCGCCGCCGAGGTCGGCGCCGATCTGCTCTCGGTCGAATTCGACTGGAAGAAGGTGTGCAGCGACCAGATGCTCGTCTTTGGTACCGCCGACCTCGAACCTCTGCTCGCCATGCTCATCACCCACATGAAGCCCGTCCGAGCTCCCTGGACCTCGCGCGCAGCCCCCGCCAACGTCATCTTCCTTTGCGCCAGGTACGCCTGCTCGTTGCACGACGAGGATCTGCTCGAGGAACTCTTCCTCGGCGCCATCGACCGCATCGAAGGCACCATCTATGCAAAGCCCACCGACATGACCTGCCTTGCCTTCTGGCTCTACAACTGCTGCCTCCTCCACTACTACGTCGGCAAGGACCGCACGCTGCGCAACTCCAGCTCCGTCACAGAGTACCGCAGCCTCTTGGCCGACCTGCTCAACGAGATCTTTGTCTTTATCATCCGCGACGCAGAGAGGCGCATCGACAAGGTGCTCGACGCCGCCATGCTCGATCACGAGCCCATCCCCGGCTTCGAAGAGGTCCGTTTCGAGGGCGAGTGGAAGTTCATCAAGACATTGACGGGCAGCGTCAAGGGGATCGGGCAGCAGGGCTCCCTGTCGCAGGGCATGACGTCGAGCCCCAGCTCACGCACGCCCATCAGCCAGATCTTTGGAGGCGGCCGTAAGGACGACACGCAGGGCTCGAGCCATCCCAAGAGCGGATCGGCAGAGGCGCCGACGCTATCCTCCTCTCCTTCCATCGGCAATGGTCGGCCATCGAGTGCCTTCGGCTCCAACACCGTTGGACCTTCCACGTTCCGTTCGAATGGCCTCGACGCTTCGCCACGCAAGGGTCTCGGCGAGCCCTTCCGCGCGATCCGCGAAGTGTCGTACAACGCAAGTGCCAACGATCTGCTCACGACACCGACGCCACGAACCATCACTTCGCTGCTCACATCGACGCTGCAGGTGCTGCAGTTCTACGAGATCAATCCGGCCATCATCGTGCAGGCGCTCTCGCAGATCTTCTTCTGGGTGGGCTGCGAGCTCTTTAACCGCGTTCTGACGCGCAAGCGCTACCTCTGCCGCTCTCGCGCGATTCAGATCCGCATGAACGTCAGTGCTCTCGAGGACTGGGCGCGCAGCAATGCGCTGCCGCTTAGCATTGTGCATGCGCATCTGTCGCCGCTCTCCCAGCTCATCTCGTGGCTGCAGTGCCAGAGCTCGCTGCAGGAGTTTGATGGGCTGATCGCCACCATGCAGGGGCTCAAGGCTCTTACGCCCATCCAGATGCGAAGGGTGGTCAAGGAGTATCGATACGAAGTGGGCGAGACGAGGATGAGCGAAGAGTGCGTGCAGTACTTGGACCAGCTCATCATCGATTGGAAGCGGAGACAGGAGGACCAGTTGCGCCAGGCGCGCGAGGAGGCACGAGATGTGCAGCGCAGGAAGAAGAGGGCCAAGAAGCACGAGTCGCACCACCAGCGCTCGGGAACCGCAAGGCAGGAAGACTATACGCCCGAAACGAGTGGTTCGTCCCGCTCGCGGTCGCTGGGGGAAGAGAACGACGTCAGTGATGGGGAGGATGAGGCGGACGACGATATGCAGCTGTCGAGCGAGGCCGAGGGGCAGGTTGGCGATGCGAGTGTCAATAGCACCGGCACGGCCAAGGTGGCTCGAGACGAGGTCGAAGCGCTCACGGTGGCCGAAGCGGTTGCGCGATCGGCACAGGAGATGATCGATGGCCTCTTCACGCCCGGCAAGAGCATGTCGGACTACGTACCGCCGTGGACGGCCGCTGGACCGCCCATGGGCTTGCACGACGATGTGGGTGGTGGCAGCGTACCTCCGTCTCCGGCCAAGGGAGAGGGACTGCTGAATAGCCGCGAGATGTTGCCGTTTGCACTGCCGTCTCGGCGAGGTGCGCTGATCGTGACGCCTGGTGACGCATTCGGCTTTGGACGCGGACACTTTACGGGCACAGGTACGCCGTCGGTGCGCAGCGTAAACGGCGACGTATCGAGCGGGAACAGTTCGGCTGCATCGTCGCGCCGCTCGTCCATCTCTGCACCGGTTGCGGGCGAAGACGTGGAGATGGACAGTGACACTTCATCGCGCACGGATGCGAGCGGCGTCAGTCGTACCAGCAGCCTCTTCCCGCAGGGCAAGGGTTTTGCTGCCGGTGGGTATTGGTCACCTGTGCCCTTGTTGCCGGACGGAATGCTGGATCGGATCGATGCAATGCTCACTGCAGCTGCAGCACTCGCTCCTGCGGCAGACAAGGAGACGAATATTCTGTTGGCCCAACATGCCTCCGATGAACATCTCCCCGTTGGAGCAGACGTCGGGCTGCCAAGAGCGAGCAGGATCGTCATTCCCCCCAGAGACGGGTCTATGTCACAGCCACAGGTGGACGAGTTTGGAAGGTTGACCGTGGGGATGGAGGAAGAGGACGTCAAGACCCCAGGCCCGCAGAGGAGGGATACACTCAAGGCGTCGATGTTTGGGTAATGCTATCATTGCGCCGAATGGTGTCGAGTGCTGCTGCGTGGTGCAGAGAGCTGAGCCAGCATTATCTGGGCCGTTGTTGTGGGAATTGCAGCACGCCGACGTGGACGAGGCCGACGTGGGACCCTCGTTCATGGCCAACGTGGTAGTCCCACATGGCAGTCACTCTTGCAGCGCGGTGGCCTGCAGACTGTGATCAAGCTTGCTGGAACACCAACGGTTAGTTTTTGCTTGGCCTCACGATGGAGTTGACCAACACTCTGCACACACGGTCGAGGTCTAGTTTGAGGCTGCCATGCTCCGATCAGTGATTGCCGCCATGAGTGCACATTTACAACCACCGTCTTTCGTTTGCCAGCCGGGGAATGGACTGTTGCATCGTTAGCAGTCCTGGTCGGCGGGGAGCGATCCTAGGCCGAACCTCTGCATGAGCTGCTGGACGGGCCCGGTGGCAGCCGCACCCGACTGGGCCTGGAACGAGCGCAGGAACGAGGCGAGCTGTTCCGCCTCCACCGCGTCTCCACGGCCAAGGAGCGACTCCAAGGATGCTGGCAGGTCGCCTTCGGACGTCAGCAGGTGCGAAAGTAGTTCTGCGTCCACATCGTCCGGCTTGGAGGCACCCTCCTGAGTCTGTGGAGTGGTGCGGCTGGCAGAGGTGGTTTTGAGACTGTTGAGTCGACGATCCATGGCTGCCATAACATCTTCAAACTTAGACATCTCCACGTCTTGTACTTGCTCCTGCATTTCCACCTCGTCGACTCTTGCCGCCTTTGCCGCCTTGGCCGGCTTTGGCGTCTGTGGCGCTGATGTCTTGGCTGCGCTCGATTGGAACGGTACGAATTTGCCCCTCTGCTTGCGGTCGCTGAGGATCTCTTCGTACTGCTCCTTTGAGAGGCCAAGGCTGATGCGCGCGAATTCGAGCATGTTGGCTACCTCTGTCTCCTCGTCCCACGCCTCAGGTCCATCCTGCACATCCGACTCGGGCAGGTCGGGCACGTCGGGATCCAAGTCGTACTCCTGCGCACGCTGGCGTCGCACCTCGGGCTCGACTTCCTCTTCGATCTCCCCGTCCGACTCGTCCGCTCCGTCGATGTGCTCGTGACCCTGGCTAGAGAGCAGTGCCGAGGTGTCGCGCATGTACTGCGACGCCAACCTGCGTCGAAGCTCTCCCTCGGCCGCACTGAGGTGGTTGCCAACGACCACTGTTGCTTCCCCCGCGACCGGCGGGGGCGCGCGAGAGGCGGAAAGCGCATCGATCGAGTCGACGAATCCTGCATTGCCCTTTGCAGTCGAGGAGCAGGTGGGACGCAACCACTCGGTATCAGACATGCGCGGAAGCAGACGCTCGAGCATCTTTCGTTTTTCTTCCTCGCCATCGCGCTCGAGACGCTGCGAGACTTGGACGCGAATGCGCCGCTCCTGCTCCTCTTCGTCTTCGTCCTCGAACAAGAGCTCGTCGTCGTCGAGCATGGCCTCGGCTTCGTCTTCGAACACCGCACCGCGCACGTCGGACTTGGTCTCGAGGAACGCAGCCATCTTGGTGTTGAAGGCACCCAGCCGTTGAAAGGCGTCGTCTTCATCAACAGCCCGTGGCGCTTCCTGGTTCGGGCCAGATTTAGCAGCAAGGATCGACTCGACCTCGCCGGGTGAGAGATGTAGCCATGCATCGTCGTCCTCGTGCCGCCGCAGCTCATCTAGCGCCGCTTCGGGGGGATACGACTGGATGGCCGGCACGGATGAGGTCGAAAGTATAAGGTCGACTGTTTCGCAGAGCGGAGTCTGTTCGGGATTGACGTTGGTAGTCGAGGTCTGGACGTACTGCACGAGTGCCTGTGCCTCGAGCTGCTTCCACTTGGCACTGCCCTGCAGTTCGCCCTGAAAGAAGCCGATCCTTTCGAGGCTGGCAAGCAGCTTTTGACGCTCTGCCTCCGAAATGGCCACCTGTGGATCTATAGAACGGCCGCCGGAGCGAGTTCGGCGGGTAGAGGATTCGGCAAACGCCATTTCGAGACCGCACCAGATCTTGGCGCCCAGATCATGCCAACGGCCGTGTGCGATTTCGGCCTGCACTTGCTGCTCGTCCTGAATCTTTGGCCCGCTCTGGGCAGAGCTGCGAGAGTGGACATGCATACGAAAGCGCTCGACAGCGGCTTGCCATTGCGGCCCAAGCTGGCGCGGAGGGAAGAAGCGGTCGTGCAGCAGCTGTGCGTACAGATGGCGAGTCATGCGGACGCGCGTCAACACAATGTCATTCGGGCTTGATTGATCCTGCTGAGAGGCTGTTGCGGTGCTGCTAGAGGATGTGGGTTGGGTGGGCGGTGGGAAGCGGACGAGACGAGATGCCGAGCGAGAGCTGAGCGGGTCGCGCGACTGGATGGCGGCAACGCAGCTGGCTATAAGCTGTGGCTCCGCCTCGAGCGCCTGTGCGACTTGGCGCGGTAGAAATGCGAGTGTACGGTGGTGGTGACTCGATGCTGTTGATGGATACTCGTACGCACGCGCCAAGGCTGCCGCTTCGACATCGTCGGGCGCGGTCGTGAGCACGGACGGGTCGCGCACCAATTCGATCGCCCGCGGAATCGGGATGGCTTCGTCAGAGATTTGCGCAAGGTGTGGCGCCACGAGATGCAGATGTCCGTCATGTATCCATACGCGGTTGACGACGCCTTCGGGCGTGACCCAGTCTGGCAGATGGTCGGCCGCTTCGATGAGGAGGAACTGACCGTCCTCGTCCTCGATGCTGATGCAAAGCGCGTGCTCGGCGAGCTCGCTCGAGGCGCGCAGCAGCAGATGCGTGGCGAACCATTCGTCCTCCATGCATTCGCCATCGGTACGCAGATGGAAGAGGATGTGCGCTGGCTGTGCGGGCTGCTTGGACGTAGAGGCTCGAGACGAGGCCGGCGGGTTGACGATCGAGATGGCTGGCGGCTCGCGGTGCCAGATGTACTGATCGATGCCGAGGTCGGGCGAGGAGCGCGAGTGTTCGTGAATGATCTGTCGCAGGCGAGCTGCAACGAGTGAAAGCTGAGCGAATTGATCGATGGAGGACGACGACGACGATGTCGGTTCGGCAGGTGGAGCTACGTAGATGCGTGCCACGATTGCCTGTTGCTTTTCTGCGCTGGCAGCTGCGGCCAACAGCCCTGTAACATCGGAGAATGGCAGCGCTCCATCTGGAGGAGCATTGCTTCCCTCCATGGCTGTGGCTGCAAGAAGCGAGCGGGAGATGGTGATGGTGATGGACAAAGAAGGCTGAGTCGAAGAAAGCCTGTCCAACTCGACTCCATCTGTCACGGCGTTCTTCCAACTTTTTCGCCTCCACATTTCGGCCTCCTTTTTTCATCTCTTTTTTTGGCCGCATTTTGTGGTGATTTTTGGTAATTTGCAGCGGAGAGTGGAAGAGTGGATTTGCGCCTTGGATGCCTCTGTGTCAGTCTGCGATGGCCGGCTTCCGCATTCTGTGTTGAAGCGCGTTTTGGCCTTTCCTTCGCTTCCACTCGACTCGACGCACACGCTTCGTCACTCAACACTTGCACACCACCTCATCCATCCTCGACCCCGTATCCATTGCCGCACATCAAGGATCCAACCCCGCATACATCGCAGCCTCCGCACGACAGACTACACCGAATCCAGGACGCCATCCGCGCCTGTGCGCGCTATGCCGTCCAAAAGAAGGCGCCCGGCGCTAGACTCTCCCGCACAGAACCACGCCTCATCATCCTCGTCATCGTCCTCCGCACAGGTGAATGGCTTTGTACTAGCAACTCCGATGGATCACAGGGTATTGGTGCAAACTGAGCAACAATCGCCCTCGTTCTTTCAACGGGTCGCTCACTACGCCCGCCTCTTTACACCTTCTCGCAAGCGCCCGCGCATCGACTCAGCCTCTAGCTCCTTACTAGACGCTTCGCCTTCCGCCAGAATACCAGCCTCCAACGACACCTCGGAAGCCTCGGCCAGCGGCTTTGTCGAACTCACGCCTTCCCGGTCCACCCAGTCCTCGGCTCTTGCTTCCGCATCGCCCGCCGACAAACTCGCCGCGCACTTGATCTTCCCTCAGGAAGGCGCCATTCGCGATCCCCTCGGCCGCGCATCGGTCGGCTCGCCCCTCGGTACCCGCTCGGTCTCCATCACCGACACCCGCAGCTCGTCTGAGGAGGCCGCAGAGATGCAGATCGAAGCTCCCTCTTCCCCTTCGAGTCCGAGCCCTCCCACAAACGCCGACCTATCACCATTGCTCATCGAGTCCCGCAACAATGACGGAGAACAACACGCTGATGACCAGGATGCAGCTCAGTCGAGTTCAGCCGCACTACCATCATCTCCGCTGGGTCCGCTCCCACCAACTCCCAGCACCGACACATCGTCCCGGCTGGCTCTGCAACCAGTCGACTACAAAAACACTTCTCAACAGCCAGCTCTGCAGCCTGACAGTCCCAAGCCAAGCTCTGAAGCAGACCCGAGTCCATCAGCGACCGCCGAGACTGACGACATGGCCGCCTCGGACGCGCATTTACACTCGTCCTCATCCGTGCACGACGATTTCAAGAGTAGCTCTGCCGACGCAGCTCTCCCCACAGATGCCGACGTCGACCACATCCAGGCCATCTCGACTGCCAAAGTCGGCGACAACATCGAGGGCCTCCTCACCTGGTCGGCACCGCTTACCACCCAGGACGTCGAGCCGCCCTCAGCTTCGCCCTCCGAGTCGGCTGACTCTGCGTCATCGACAGCCGAGTCGGAGACGCGGCAAGATCCGCGCCCGGTGGCTGCCAACAACGTCGTCGACATGACCTGCCTCTCCGATGACTCGTCCTCGAGCGACGACGACGACCCGGACAAGGAGAACGACATCTCGCTCGTCCAACCCTCGCCCCAACTCACCTCGGCCGCCACGCTAACGTCGTTCGACAACTTTACTCCTTCGCAGCCAGCGTTCCGCGCGCCGCAATCGAGGCACTCTTTCGGCGGGCCTCTGACGCAAGCGGCTCTGCGAGAGCAACGCAGTGCGGCGCATCACTCATCCCAATTTGCGACGACTTTCGGCGCCGCTCAAGATGGATCCGCAGACGGATCGGCAACCGAGCAGATTCGAAGCATCGGTCTGCAGAGCATCGGTCGGCAGACCTCCTTCGTCCAGCCTGCCCGCCACCGCCTGCCGCAGGCATCCACGCCTCGTCAGGACATCTCATCGCCCGGGCTTCATCGCTCCATGTCCATCGACAGCACCGCCTCGTCTCTTGCCTCCGACGCCACAGCGCACCGCAAGAGAAGGAGCTCCGGCATCGGCTTCGCCAAACGCACCCACATCTTCCAGAAGCAGCACGCGCAGGTCGTCAGCGCCTACAATCTCGAAGCCATCAAGGCGTCGCTCAAAAAGATCAACTTGATGCGCACGTCTCAGCGCAAGACGCTGCTCACGCCTGAACAGTTTGTCGGCCTAGCCGCCAAGAGGAGGCAGGTGCAGAAGTTCATCGATGGCGAGAACAGGCACCCGACGTCGCGCGATGACTCGATAGAGATCCTGATGCGCAAGTTCATGCGCCAGAAGCAGATCGATGCGCAATCCGCCGTGCTTCCCGTCTCCCGCCCCAGGCTGGTCCAGATGGAGAGGCTGGCGCGCGAACGACGCGCCCAGGCCAAGAAGCTGCGCGGCGTTCTTGGCAGACAGGCGCTGCCTGCCCAGCTGACCGAAGAGCAGGACAAGATGGCCAGCGCCGCACTCTCCAAGCGCGGCCAGATTGCGGCGATTCCCGGTGCCCAGGTGGAGGACCGCGATGTGGAGAAGCTGCGTCCCCGCCAGTGGCTCAACGACGAAGTGATCAACTTTTACGGCAACCTCATCCTGCAGCGCGCCAACGATGCCGACAAGCGACGCACCGAGGCGATCAAGGCAGCGGGGTCCGATGCGAGTCCCGTTGCTGAAAAGCCATTGGTGGGCAAGTCAGCTCGGGCTGGCGGCAAACCGCAGCCAAAGCGGCCGTACGACGCAGCGCTCGATGCATTCTGGCGAGTGCACTTCTTCTCGTCGTTCTTCTGGGAGAACCTCAAGAACCGCGGCTTTGACGGTGTCAAGCGCTGGACGCGTCGCATCGACATCTTCACCAAGGACCTCGTGCTCTTCCCCATCAACCTCGGCAACTCGCACTGGGTGTGTGGCGCGATCAATCTGCGTCGTCGGCGCTTCGAGTACTACGACTCGCTCGGTACGCGCAATCCGCGCGCCTTTGAGCTCATGCGAACGTACCTGGCCGAAGAAGCCAAGGACAAGAAGAAGAAGCACATCGACCTGCGGGGCTGGCGCGATGTGTTTAGCGACGAGTCTCCGCAGCAGGAGAACGGATACGACTGCGGCGTGTTTGCCGCCCAGACGCTCGAACAGATCAGCCGTCGCGACCCACATACCCCTATCCCGCTGGATCCGCCGACGATTCCGTGGATGTCGGACGATATCGAGACGGACGCAGGCAGGATGAAGATCACCAGCGCCGACGACGCGGAAGACGACGACGACGATGTGGACGAGTACGAGTGGAATTTCGGCCAGGAGAACATGCCGTACCTTCGCCGACGAATGGTGTACGAAATCGCCTCGCAGCGCTTGCTCGATTGAGAGCGCGGTGCGCAAAGCTGCACGTAGCGTCGTGAACAGAAGCTCTAATCAGAACCATGTACTTGTAGTCTCGTGTGCGTCGTGAACCAACTCGTCTGAGGTGGCACCCTGAGGTGGCACCCTGAGCCTAGCCTGATGATCCGGGCGGCCAGAGGTGTGGAGTTCAGGGTCCAGTCTGAAGATCCAAGAGCCGAGTTCCGCGGCATGCCAGGAAAAAGATGGCCAGTGTGGAGGAAGAAGACCTTCATCTCTGCTTTCATCTCCTAAGGGGGCAGCTGGACAGCTTCGTAGCAACACCAGACGTGGCGTGGGCCTGCAATGGGGGCTGTGGAGGACGAGGTGGTGATCCGCTTCGAAACTGCGCCTAGCTACCGCGAGTTCTTCGAACGGTGTCTGGTGGCCAACCGGCCATGCATCCTACCGCGCTCCCTGATCAGCCACTGGCCAGTCGAGCAGTCGCGCGCCTGGGCCTCACCTCACGACGGCTCCATCAACTGGTCCGCACTGAAGCTACGCTACGGCTCGCAGACTGCACCGGTGGTCGTAATTCGGACGAATGCACACGGTGACGAGAAGGAAGACAGGCAGGAGATGACGATCAGTGATGCGATCGACCTCATCCTCGCCCACCGCACCGACCCTTGCAACATCAAGGCGATCTACATTAAGGACTGGCATCTGATCAAACAGCTGCACTCGGACGCTTCTGGAGCGCGGGACCCTTATGTGGTGCCGGAGATCTTTGAGGACGACTGGATGAACAATGTTGGTGCGGGGGGTGATGATTTCCGCTTCGTCTACGCCGGTACTGCAGGATCACAGACTCTGCTGCACCGCGATGTATACACTTCGTACTCGTGGTCTACGAATGTGGTGGGTCGTAAGCGGTGGCACCTATTCCCTCCGCGTGTGGTTGCGCATCTGCGTCGCTTCCCTGCCGTCGAAACCTCACCCATGGTACCCGACATCCAAACTTTGCAAAACATCATCGATGCAGCGACCAAGGGGAAGGAGTATAGCGAATTGCACAAGGCTTGGAAGGCAGTTCAGGTGGTGGATCAGCAAGAGGGCGAGACGATCTTCGTGCCGAGCAACTGGTGGCATGAGGTGCACAACGTGGGCGAGTGCATCTCGATCAACCGCAACTGGTGCAACGCCGTCAATGTACCCTCGCTGTACAGGTCGATTGAAGCCGAGCTCGAACATGTCGAGCGGTCGCTCTGCGACGTGCACGAGATGCTCCAATCCAACAACACGCAAGGAGAAGAGTGGAGAAAAGAGTTCTATACGCTCGTTCAGGACGTTGCAGTTCAGGACGCAGGTTGGGCCTGGGACGGGTTTTGGAAGATGGTCCTCAGAAATCTGCGAAACCCGCCCACAGGCAGCAGGTGCAGGCCGGATGCAAAGTGGGTGCGAACGCGCATCCTGCCCCTCGCTCAGCAGTTCGAGACCCGGCAAGACGCACACTGGCTCGACGCAAGCATCCTCGACACTGCACGTCGATGCCGACAATTGTTGGAGGGCCATATGGAATAAATACAAGTGGCACGATCACGACGAGCACGAAGGCAGATTGCCCGTCAACGGTCGACCGAGCGAGCACAGACGCTGTTCACACAAACAAAAGCGTCAGCGGTCTATCATCCACGTCGCATTGCGAATGGGCACAACTTACGGCTTCTTCAGCGACCTGGTCGGGCGACTTGCCGTCGCGGGGCACACCCCAGTCTTCAAATGGATGGGTGGCCATTTCGAGCACCAGGGCGAGTGCGTCGGTGTCGTTGTGCTTCTCGAGACGGTCCGCAACTTCGTTGGTCACCCAGTTCCGCAGCACGAATCGCGGGTTGCTCGACTTGATCTCGCGCGCCACCTCGTCGCCATCGCGTGCCTCGGCGAGCAGACGCCGCGCGTACGAGAGCAGCCAGGCGCGCGCCTGCTTCTCCTTTGGCTCGCGCGCGTATTCGGGCAGCACCGTGGCATCGTACCACCCCTCCACCCCCGCATCCCTATCCCCGGCAAAGAACGCCTCGACGACCTTGTTGAGGCCCTCGTTGTCGTCGATGCTCGCACCGCGCGCTTTGAGCAGCGCCGGAAAGCGCACGAGCGAGCGCAGCGTCGAGGAGAAATCCAAGTCGCCCAGCACATCCGACAGCGGGTCGATCAGCGCCGTCTTATCGTCGGCTTGTACGGTCGCCAGACCAAGACGCGCGCAGTAGGCCTGTTTCCAGTGCTCCAGCAGCGTACTGGTGAACAGCGCCTCGAGCGAACCGGAGAAGTCGTCGGAGCACAGCTCGCGCCACTCGTCGATCTGGGCGTCGGTGGCACGCAGAAGCTCACCGGGCGCCGGTGCACGGTCGTGCTCGATCTCAAATCCGACCAGCGGCGCCACGGCATTGAGCAGCTCGCGCAGCGCAAACACACCCATGGTCGGTTGGAGGCGGTAGGCGTAGCGACCCTCGCCGTCCGAATGGTTGCAGATCTGCCCCTCGTCGTACAGATCCATAAAGGCGTACGGGCCGTAGTCGATCGTGTGACCGGTGAGTGCGATGTTGTCGGTGTTGAGGACGCCGTGCATAAAGCCATAGACCTGCCAGAGCGCAAACGTGCGCGCATTGCGCGTCGCCACCTCTTGCACCATCCGCCGCGCCCACATCGGCCGCTTTTCCGCTTGTTGCTCGGAGACGGCACCGCCTTTGACGACGTCGGTGAAGCCAAAGATGTCGCGCGAAACGTACTCGCCCAGGATGCGCGACGACTCCCATTCGCCGCGCGAGCTGTGGATCTGGAACGAGCCGATGCGCAGCCAGGACGGACACATGCGCGTCGTGATGGCTGCCACATTCAGACGCTCGCGCACCACCTTGAGCTCCGGCAGCGCCACGACGGCCAGCGCACGGCTGGTGGGCACGCCGAGCGCCGCCATGGCCTCGCTGCCTAGGAACTCGCGCACGCTGCTCGTCAGCGTCGCCAGACCGTCGGCGAAGCGCGAGTACGGCGTGCGTCCGGCGCCCTTGAGCTGGATCTCCCACCGCTCGCCCGTGGCCGGGTTCTTGGTCTCCATGAGCGTAAATGCACGCCCGTCGCCAAGCTGACCCGCCCATACGCCGAACTGGTGCCCCGCGTAGCACAGCGACCACGGCGCATACTCGCCGGCGGCGCCCGAGGCGCGCTTTTGCTCGAGCTCGTCGAGCCGACGCAGCGTACGTGCCTCGGTGCTCTCGTCGGAGACCTCGCCCTTGATGATCTTTTCGCGCAGGCGCATGTACCTGGTGCCGTAGCCAGCGCGCTCGTCTGACTCGAGCGTGCTTGCGTCGTCAAGGATGCGCGCACCGATCAGACGGCCAGCGACAAAGTCGCTGAGCGTCTTGCGCGCGGCCACTTGGGGAGAGACGTCGGCGGTGGTGGCGGCATCGGCCATGGGCCCGGAACTGTACGAGCTTGGGCCGGCGGACTTGTTGTTCTTCTTGATCCATTCGAGCGCATCACCCACATCGAGGTGCGGTAGGCAGTCGCGCAGCGCCGCAGGCGACACACCGAGCAGCCGCGCCGAAGGGAAGTGCTGGTGCTTGCGGCGCGGAGGCACGTGGCCCTGCAGCCCCTCACCATCGGCGACCGCCTCGCATGGCTGCACTTCGTACCGCTGCAACATTTGCTCGACCTCTTGCATCCTGCGCTTGTGTGCCTGCTCGATCCTTTCTTTCTTTTGCTGCTCGGTGAGCTGTGCGTCGTCGCCATCGTCGCGCTCGAGCTCCTGCTGGTGGCGCTCGCCCAGCGCCAGCTCGCCTTCCTGCTCGGGCGGGAACTCGTACGGAAAGGAGAGGGGCAGCGTCGACAGGAAGCTGAAGTGCGCGCCCTGGCCGACGGGACGCGCGCGACGCACGAGCGAGGGCGACGAACCGGACACCGAGACGATCGAGCGCGGTTCCGGCGTGACGGGATCGGCGAGCAGGTTGACGGTGAGCCGCTCCGAAGCGGGCACGAGCGGCAGGTTGAGCACGTCGTACGTCCTGATCTTCATGTTGGCCGCTATAGCAGTCGAGCTAAAGGAATGCGAAGGCGTGCAGGGGAAGCGAGTACGGGCGCAGGTGTTTTGCAGATGTTGAAACGAAGAGGTGGAGCGAACGACTGCAAGTCGATGCGTCAATGACATGGAATACACGATGCCGGCTTGTCGGAGCTGCGGTGTTGCGGATTCCTGAAAAAAGCGCAGCAGCGATGGCGGACGGGATGGCGGATGCCGGGAGGGAAGGAGGCCGGCCGTCTTGCCGGTGCAGCAACTTCCGATGCATCACCGCACAGTCATGCTGAGCTTCAAGTGGAGGTTGGCGGTGGGCCAAAAGACGTGCGACAGAGGCGAGGCAATATTATAGCAGTGTTAGACTTCCGCTGCAACAGATTCAAAATTCTTTTGCGGGTGCCTGGCGCGCCTCATTTTCCCCGCATCGCTGAAAGCGGACGCGTCGGAGAAAGCTGTGTGTGGCAGCAGCGCAGGGCAGCAGTCCCTTTCTTTCTCTCTGTCCCTGTGGGCGGCGATTCGTTGGCAGCTCTTCCGAATGCAGGAAAGCAGGAAGAAAAGGGCAGCCGAGCTCTATCCGGCGCCGTTTTTTTTGTGGCTTGACGCTGCTGGTGCTGGTGTTGGTCTCGGTCGGGCCGCGCGACCCTGGATGGAGGGCGGATCGCTGCCACGTTTGCACGGCCCCACATCCATCCTCCAGACTTTGCACTTTGCACCTTGCACCTTGATCACCATCACCACCTCGATAGGCGCCATCGCAGCGTCGAGCTCGATCGCTTCGCAGCAGCCAGCGCTCGCGCCATGAGGAGCTCCGTCTGGCCAGGGCTGTACATTGCAGCTGGCATTCTGCTTCGCGTCGGCCTCTTGCTTTGGGGTCAGCATCAGGATGCCAACCACGCCGTTCCCTACACCGATGTCGACTACTACGTCTTCTCCGACGCTGCCAAGATGGTCGTCGACGGCTGCCCGCTCTCGGCCATCGTCGAGCATCTCGACTACGATTCGGACATCGATCTGTCGGGCCGCAAGGATGTCCAGTGTGCCAACGGCATCGTGCCCGAATCGGCGCGCTTCTTGCTGCTCAACGACCCCAACAGCCATGCGCCTACCGACGGTCTGCGTCCGGACGAGTCGGATGCAATGTACTACTGGGCCAAACGCTCGTACCGCTTTGCAAAGCCGACATTCGATCTGTTCGCCTCGCTCGGAGATCCGTATGCGCGCCCCACGTACAGGTACACGCCCTTCCTCGCGGTGCTGCTCGCGCCCATCCATCTGTTCGGGTGGGCAGACTTTGGCAAGTACGTCTTTGCCGCGAGCGACCTGCTGTGTGCAGTGTTCATGTGGCTCATCCTCGATGGACGCCGCCCGCAAGCTTCGTCCGCCGGAGTGTTTGTGCATCTCCCCGGCCTCCTATGGATTCTCAATCCCATGGTCGCCCAGATCTCGACGCGCGGATCGTCCGAGTCGCTCGTTGGCCTCTTTGTCCTCTCCTTCCTCTACTTCTTCCTCAAGGCTAACCCAGAAGCGCCGCTCGGTCTCAGTGCAAAGTACCTGCCCGAGTTTGGTCCTGCCTCGGCTTCGACTGATGTCGACAACAAGGCGGGAGAGGCGAAGGATGTGGTGGCAGCTGCTACTTACGAGGCACTGCCGCCCGAAAGCGCTTCGAGTCTGCTCGACTGGTCGCTCGAGGCGTACATCGCACCTACGCTGTTGGGCTTGGCGACCCACCTGAAGCTCTTCCCTGTCATCTACGCGGTACCCGTGCTTGCGCACCTGTACAGATCGACGGTCTCCGCGTATGCACCCGAGCGTCGCGCGTCGCTCAGCCTCTGGACACGACACGCGGCGGGCATCCAGTTTGGCTTTGTTGCGTTCTACGCCTTCATGGGGGCCAACATGGCGGCGTGGGCCGTATGGGGGACGCCATTCATCGAGCATACCTTCCTCTACCACCTGCGCCGCGCCGACCACCGCCACAACTTCAGCCCCTACTTTCTCGGCACCTATCTGTCGCTCTTTGCGTCCTCGACACACGGCGGCTCGGTGCTGGAGCGCGTGCTTGCATCGCCGCTGCTGTCCTTCCTGCCGCAATTGGGCGTTGTGGTTGCGCTCGGCTACCACCTCGGCAAGCGCGACGTGGTGGCAGCCATGACGGCACAGACGATCGCATTCGTCGCGTTCAACAAGGTGTGCACCAGCCAGTACTTCCTCTGGTTCCTCTGGCTCCTACCGCTCGTATGGCCCAGCCTCAAGGTCGGAAGGATCGAGACGGGCGTAGCGGTGGCAACGTGGGTGGGCGGACAGGCGCTGTGGCTGTCGCAGGCGTACCAGCTCGAGTTCCAGGCGAAACAGGTGTTTGTACGGGTGTGGGCGAGCGGGCTCGTGCTGTTGGCCATCCATGCCGGTCTGCTCGTCTGGTTCCTCTCCTCGTGGGCCAGGTTCAGAGCCGAAATCCAGAAGCACGGTCTCAAGCTTCGTGACGGCAAGCTGGTCAAGACGCTCAAATCGCAATAGACAGCTCCAGGTTCCCGCTTCCCATTGTGTGTGTGGTTGGCTCTCGATCCCACAAACGGTCAAGTTGTGGCCAGGGTCGCGGCAATGCACCTCGCATGCGAGTCGCCCTCGAGCAGTGTCCCTTCATGTTGAATCTCGCGGGCCGATTGAGCCGGCGGTCGAGTGGATCGCAATGCAGCAGCGGCTCGTCTGGACCCGGTCCCCGACCACCCGAGCCCTTTCGCTTGCTCCTAGGCGCTCTTTGACTAGCGTCGTTGCCAGAGCGTGCGGCGGGCTTCACTTTGGTAGATTGCCGAAAAGCACCGACTGGCCGCTCTAACAAGGCCGAGTTTTTGACCGAGGTGCATTTGTGGTCTGATTTTCGACCACGCGTTTGGAAGAGCGTGGCTGGCGCGCTTGGCGAGCAGCGGCAGATCTCGGCGCGAACGTCAGCACGCGCGTAGCTCGTTTGCGTCCACGCTGACAAGCCCAGCAGAAAAAAAAAAGACCCCCCCTCCAAGAATCCATGCAGCGTCGGAGGGGCAAATCGGAGTCGCCGCGAAGGAGCGCTGCACGGTGGCACTTTGCCAGTGTGGGATCGACGCGACATGAAGGAGCCACACGGGTGCGGGAAAGCCTTGTTTCTCGAAGGTTTGAATCAGCGTGTCAACGCGTCGGTCGGCCCCCACGCACCCACGCAGCCACGCAGCCACACACCCACGCACGACGGGTGAGAGAAAAATAATGACGCTGCATAGGTTGCTGAGATTGCTCTTGGCTCACGGCAGCAGGGCACGGACGAATTGCAGCGCGCATTGTGAGCACTCGGACCATGTCGATCCTCTTGCGCAACCGCTGTGGATTGCAATCGAGCGCATGCGCAGAGCTCTGCTGCACGTCCCTCTGCACAAGTTGGTTTTCATTCATTTTGACCGACATTTTGCACCCGGCCGTCTTGATCCGCTCGTCTTTGTTGCCATTGTTGCCGCGGTGGTCGAGATCCGACGCATCGAGTCAAGCAGAGACGCCATGGTTGCGCACTCAGATAACGATACTGAGGTCTTGGCATTAAGCCTGAGTATGAGGCCGAAGCTAACTCTATCCTCTCCACCCCCATCTGAAGCTCACAGACACTCTCTTTCGCTGCGGAGGCGCGGGGGCGGGGTTGTGGGAATGCGAGAGGCGCGCACTGGCGCCCAAGTGCCGAAGGGACTGCCCCGGCACGGCCGCAACTCCCAGCTGCGAGCTTCGGAAGCTCTGTTCCGTTGGCGAGAGTCGCAGCGCTCGCAACTCGTCCGGCTTGACTCCGTGCAGCTCAAGCAGCCACTCATGCTCCCCCCAACTCAGAGGGTTCGGCTCGGCTATTCCAGCACAAAACCCTTCGCAGTGGACATGGCAGCCGCCGCCGCCGCATCACCAAATCAGAGCCAAGTCATTTTTTTTTTGCTCGTCTCGCGCCGAAGCATTTTTTCACTCAACAGCCATCCGAAGCCAATTTAATCCTCCGCAGCCTTCAAGTCAAATCAGCTAAGCGAGCGATGAGCAGCGACGAGCAGCGACGAGCAGCAGCAGCAGCAGCCAGCGAGATGCCACTCCGAAGCCACACACGCTGCTGAGCTTCACCGACCTTGTTGGCTCGCCGCGCAAACGAACGTCGCCTTTGGTTCGCCTCCGCGGCAGTCGAGTTTGAGATTGCTCTTCTCCTTCCTCTCCAAACCCCCATCCATCCTCCCTCCTTCCATCCTCCCCGCATCCTCATCCCCACTTGCGATCGCTCGGTTGCTCGGTTGCTTCGCGCCCCTATACGCTCCGCCGGGTCTTGATCGCATATAGATCGCCCTCGTAGTCGGTTGGCTCCACCGATCCCATTTCACCACCTGCTACGGTCTTCATCGCCGTCCTCGACTCGGCCACGATCCAAGCGCTGCTTTGCTTCAGCTGCTCTGCATAGACAAGCCTCTGCTTGCTCATACCACCCCATCTCAGGTCCGCATTCACTCCCAAAAATGGCCTCCTTCCTCAACGCTGGCCAGCAGGACCTCAACTTTTCGCAGTCGGCCCCCTCGGCGCCGCTGCCGCGCTCCGACTCGGTGATCGGCAAGCTGCTCTCGCTCGTCGACCTCACGCGCGTGCCCTCGTTCCAGGAGGCCGACCGCACCACCGTCGTCTTCTCCATCCTCGCCGTCGTCGCAACGCTCCTCCTCGCAGAGCAGTACAACTACCAGAAGAAGAAGGCCTGGCTCCCCGGCCCCAAGTGGACCATCCCCATCATCGGCAAGTTTGCCGACTCGCTCAACCCCTCGCTGGAAAAGTACCAGCAGGGATGGAACTCGGGCCCGCTCAGCGTCGCCAGCGTATTCAACATGTAAGTTTGGCTTCCGTCCACCGTCGGCAACTCCTTCGATCGGGATGTCTGACCTTGTCGCGATTTCGCATTGGCTTCCACAGCTTCATTGTCATTGCGTCGTCGAACGAGTACGCCCGCAAGATTCTCAACAGCCCCACCTATGCCGAGCCCTGCCTCGTGGCTTCCGCCAAGAAGGTGCTCTGCCCGGACAACTGGTAAGTCATGAAACGGCTCTCACCCCACACGTGCGCGCTTCTCCGCGCCTGCGTGCAAATCCCACTTTCAGATGAGG